GCTCCCCACTCTGTCTCTGGGGAATCCTCTCACCCCTGCACTCCGGGTGCTGGTCTGCACCCAGCTCTTCTATGCAAAAATGAATGAGTGAGTGAAGGAGTCTTCCAGAGCCACCAGTCTTGGCAAGGGAGCCCCGAAACTCCAGTGCAGGCAGCATCTCTGCTGTCCTCTGCTCCAAAGCTACTGTGAGTGGGGGTCCTCTGGACGGGGTGTCGTGTAACCAGTCAATCACCGGAAGGAAATTCCCAGCACCCAGTAGGCCATCACGAAGACAGGCCTGGGACTGAGGAGGAGGGTTTTGTCTGACACACTGAGTTCCTGCAGGAGAAAAGGGGCTGGAGGCGATGGCTGGAAGGGATGAAATAATGTGGGGTGCAGCGTCCCCACGTCCACACGGGAGGCCGCTGAGGACAGGACCTGCACTGCTCTCTTTGTCGTCGCCTGACTTCAGTCTCCTCGCTCTTCTCTCTCCTTTATTCGCTCCCATTTTAAATATGTCTCCCTGGAGCTTACATTATTTAATAGGACAGTCATTTTTACTTAACGATTGAAAAAAGAAAAAAATCCTCAATGGGGGAAACCAAGACTGACATCAAAGAGCGAGAGGCAGAGGTCTCTGGAAATTCTGTTCTAAAGCAAGAACTGACGCCTGCTGCCATTTCAGGGGGGGAATGAGCCAGCTACACAACTAGTTTGATCCCAACTATCTTCTGTGAGGTTCAGTTCATGGGCTCCCAGGGGAGCCCAGCAACACTACACATCAAATGAGTGGAAAAGAATGGAAACAACAAATGCTGGTGAGGACGTGGAGAAAAAGGTACTGTCACCCACTGCTGGTGGGAACGCAAGCTGCTGAGTCTCTATGGAAACAGGCATGGAAATTTCCTAAGAAAATAAAAGTGGAAACTTCAGACGATCCGCCAGTATCTCTGCTAGCTATTTATCCAAAAAACATGACAACTCTAACACTGAAGTGCTGACCTACTCCTTTGTCAGAGCAGGCACTCACTGCTTACTACTGCCAAGTCACGAACCCAACCTAAGTGCCATCCATTGACGGCTGGTAAAGAAATTGTGGCACATGAATTCGGTGGAATACTATACAGCTGTTTAAAAGCAGATAGCACTGTCTTCTGTAACAAAATTGATGGGCCTCAAGGTCTGTTTTGTTAAATGCAGTAACTCAGGAAGTGAAAGAGAGATATCAGGTGGTTTCACTGTGGAATATAAATAACCAAAAAAAATATGTTGGCAAAACACAAGAAAAATAAATCATAGACTTTGTGAAAAAATGTACTGGTTATCATCAGGAACAGGCAGGTAGGAAGAGGTGGAGGAGAGAAGTAGACAGGGTATTGGCACAGTGGTTCAGGGGTGGGCCAGGGGATCACAGGCACACATGGAGGAGTAAAAAATGTAACCCCCAAATTAAAATAACAATCAATTAATTTTTTTAAAAACAGGAGAAAGATCCATTGACTCAAATCTGGTCATTCTGGAACTTTAGGGATTACCCCTAGGGAGGAAGGCAATTTTTTTTAAGCTACACACACAAGGATATATGCACTGTGGCATTGTGGGTGAAAAAGATGAATTGAAAATAAGTGACAGTAAATTCGCATATACAGTGGAAGTGAACACTGTTTGTAAAATGCCACCTGTGTGTACCACAGCCCTGCAACAGTTCCCACATTAAATGAAACTGAAATGCACAAACTATGGGGACAAACATGAAAACAGCTATGTTATGAGTAGACGATGGCATTTGTCATAATAGCATCTTTTATGGCTTAATTCTCATGAAAGTTTAAAATTAGCACTCAGTTTTAAAATATACACTAAAATGCTGCAGGGGGGAAATAAATGAGCTGTTTCCTGACCTCCACAACCGAACACACCACCACCAAGCAGTTTCAGTTGATTTAGGGAGTTTTTAAATATCTCCATTTCTAAATAACAAGATGATATTAAATTCTTGTCAACTTTCATCTTCTTCCCGTAGATGAGTTGATGCTTTCCTACACATAAACACACACATGTAGCCTGTCTTCCACCTTCTGATTATAGCTATGTGATCACATTTTTGCTAATCAATCTTTAGTGCTTACATCATCATGACTACATAAATAATGTTCAAAGTTAAGACATGTGGTTTACTCTGATTTTATTTCCATTCTTGTTCAATTTTTTGTTAGTCCCATAGTTTTGTTAGTCCTATAGTTGATTATAGTTCTTAAAGTAAGTTGCCTTATTTTAAATTTTCTTTTTGATGTACAACTATATAACTTTCCCACACTGTAATAAAACTATAACAATTATAATACAGCAAAGAGGTCCAATAGCCCATCAGCTTCATCCCCCTATCTCCTTGGCACTTTTCTTCCTGGTGCTCTCAACTATCTTGCTCAGAATTGGACTGGTTGCTCTCTAGACCAACTGCCCAAGAGTAGTACTGGGACTTCTCTTCACCACCATGATAGGAATTCTCTTCACTCCACCAGTCAGGTCCCTGGTTGCAAGGAAAGAAGCAGATCTCACTGATCAAGCAGGAAAGAAGCTGATACATTAGCTGATATATTTGTTGCACTGTGAGGAGTTTCATAGTTCTGTTGGAGAATTGGAAGAAAATGTATTCACTGATACATTGAAAATAAAGTAAACAAAAAGATGAGGCACTGGTAAAGTAATATGGTTTTATATAAAAAAAGATGAGGCAACTATCAACTTCAGGAAAAACAGAAAGCTAAGCAAGAAAAGAAATATAACTAGATGGACTATAGTATAAAATCGTATCTGATGGCAAAGCTGATGTTGTTGAGAACTGATGCCAGTGTGTTCCTACCATTTCTGTACCAAGAACTTGATTTTTCAGCCCTTCACTTTTGTTGATATGGATATAGCCTATGCTCCATCCCTCTTCTCTTCTCTGTCAAAACACGACTTTATCGCATCTCATCACTGGAGCCCAGGCCATGGCCCCAACTATAAGAGGATACTTTTCAGTTCCCATGGTGGAGTGGGTGCTTATTTTTTCTCCACACCCCAAGACTTAAAGTAATAGTTGAAATACAGAAAGTCACTAGGCAGCTGAATCGAAGGAGAATAAGAGACACTGGACTTTGCACCATTTGTTGTTCGTAGTTTAAGAAATACAGATTTTTTAAAGATATATGAATTTTCAAAAATGTCATCCTCTCCACCTCTTGTATCCCTTTTCAAGGACGCTGCTGAAAGATGTCCTCCGCTGCTCTCAGCTGCCCTCTCACCATCCTACCTGAGCCCCTCTGGGTGAGCAATGCCTCCAGGAAGCCAGCTACTCTCTGCTGTGGTAGAGGACAGCATGCGGTCTCATGGGCTGAGAGGGTCTGTGGATCTAACACATGCTTTCAGCCCAGCTCCCTCATCTGGTCTCCCATCTTCAGGGATACCCTGGAGCCCCATTCTTAAGGCTGTGGTGGGTCCCAAGCACACCCCAGCCTGCTCCCCACAGCCCTGGGCATTTGGCAATCTCTGTGTGGATTCTCTCCACTGCTTTCCAGCTTCCACAAGTTTCACTCAGGTCTCCACACCTCTACTTCCTTCCCTTATCAAGGGGTCTATACTTTGTTTATTCCTCTAATCCCATTTTGAAACAGAACAGAGAAAAACATGTGTATTCAATCAGCTATGTTCATGTGGAAGTCAGTAGTAATATTTAACAATAAAGACAAACCAAGTCTCAAAAGTGCTTCCCCTCGCCCTCAGCTGGGGATACACAGAAGACTCTCTGGATCTGTGAGGATGATGATACAAGTTATTCTTGCATTTTTTTTTTTTTGTATTTTACAAACTTTTGCCAGTAAATGGGAATTTTTTTATAAGTAAAAAGCATGGGGTATTAGTTATTATTAGAAGACCGCTTCTGGAACAAGAAGCAATCACGCAGAAGAAACTCCCCCCTTCCCCCTCACAGGTCTAAAACTACTCCACGGTTTTCACCTTGTTCAGGGAGAGTCCAGGGTCCCCCTACCTTCTGAAGGTGGAGGAGTGGGATAGGGTACTGAGTGGAAGGAATTCTGGGTCTCTCTCTACCACTAGTATGGTGGTTATCCATTTTTCCTGATTTATAGGTTAAATTTAATATTTTGATCTTTTAAAAGAGACCCACTCTAACAATAAATTTGGGAAAATAGCAACAAAGATCCAGAAAAAAGGAGGTGGGGAAGCCCCCCCAGCATGATACCATATTACAAGCTCACACCCCTTCCCACCCTGAGATGATGTGGCTGCGCCAGTGCTGGGACACGAGAATCACGCCCTGCACCCACGGGTGCACCCACAGAATTCTCATGTACCCACAGGGTGAGCAATGGGGACCGCAGACTCAGAGATCCAGGAGCTTGCTGGCCACACCCAGCTACCTCTGGACTCCCGAGGGGAGGCGTTTAGCCAATGTCCAGCCCATACCCATCTGTAACCTCTGTCTTCCCTGTACAATGAAAAAACAGCATTCATCTTCCAGGGTAACATGCTAGATGTCTGAGGAGATGCTGCTACTGACAAGGACTGTTAACTTTCAGGAGAAACAGTGTGTCCACCTAAGGATCCTTGAGAAACAAAAGCCACTTGCAAAAACTCAGTCCACTTCCTCCGAAGAATATTCTAACTTCTCTACCCGCCCTACCCGTGATGGGCCAGCCCATTCCACCATGACTGGAACAAGTCAAATGCCAAACACTGCAGCTTAATAACCGCTCCGGGCTGGCTCTCAGCAAAGCCATCCCCTCTTTCCCAGGCAGCAGCTCCTCTCCTGGGAAGCTGACCGAGGTCTAGTTCACTTCCCCCCTCCTTGGCGCCTCACACAGATTTAGGTCGTCCTCTTCCTTAAGACTTCAGTCCCACAGAGAGGGTCTCCTGCGGCTCAGAGTCAGGCAGGAGGTTTGTGTTCACATTCTTAACCCCTGTACACAAGGCGCCTCTTCTTCCTTCCCCACGCCGGTCTCCCCCCACCCCCAACCTACCTCTCTGGGGTGGAATAAGAGAGACCCGATGCAGGAGATTAGCTGCTTTAGAATCGATGACGATCATTCCACCCTTGGCTGACTCCGAGCTCCTCATCCATCTGGAAAAAAAACAAAAAGAAAAAATGTAAAAAGAGAGTCTTGGAAACCTGAGCTTTCTCCAACCCCACCTACTCCCTGGCCTGTGACATCCTGCTTGGGGGTTTGTGCGTCCCCCACCTTCCTTTGGTGGTACAGGCACACTCCCGGGTCTAAGGCAGGAGCATGTCCACACAGAGATGACTCAGGTCATTTTTAGGGTTACTTGCTAGTTTAGCTGGGCTGTTGAACGCCAAGATAAGGATCTTGGCCATGCCTGGTCCCTGTTCCATGCAGTGGCTAGAAAGCAGGCTGGCAAACCTGCAGCGCCCTTCGATTCTGAGCCATCCTGGGGGTCGGGGAGTGGGGGGGTCACCCCTCCTGGCTGGAGATGAAAAAGCAGGGTGTGTGGGAGGACCCCCACTCACTGCCTTCTGTAGTTTTCTCCCTCCCTGGGGGCAGCCTCTGGAAAGGAGCTGACCCTAGAAAGAAAGACCCCTGAAAGCCAGCTGGACTCCAGCAGGAGGGTCTGCTCTGTGCCCATCCTGGGCCCCTGGCACTACCTCCAATGCGGGGCTCCTGCCTGGAACCCACAAGGTACCCACCAGGTTGGGGAGGGCTCGCCAGGAGCAGGAAACCTAAACCTTTGGCTTCACCAGACAAAAAGCCCAGCCCTAGAAAGACCCTGGACACTGTGTCTGTTTCAACACCTTCTCAAGGACTGCCAGTTGGAACTCTGGAAGGACACCCCCTGGGCCTGGCCGTGGGAGCCCCGGGAGGCGGGTTTGGGTGATCGCTCCACTCAGCATCCACAGGAGGGTGACAAGGTCTTCCCAGGGCACCCCCATTGGAGAACCAGGAGCTGGGCGTCAGAGAAAGAAACAACTTCCCCCCTGGCCAGTGGAATAACAAGACAAGCAGCCCAGTCCTAGGGAGGTGCACCGGATCGCAGGGAAAGCACTTTCAAAAGGAGCAGAGACAAAGCAAAAGGCGTGGATGGAGCCAGCCGAGGGAAGAGAGTTAGAGACGGCGGGAGAGAATCAGTCCTCAGGAATTCAGGTCAGGAAAACAGAGCCGGACAGAATTCACAAGAGGCAGCGGGGGAGGAGGCGCCACCCGGGGGGCAGGTCCGTCTTCTGCTCCGGCCCTCACGCTGGCCAGACCTCGGGACCTGGCTCTGCCGCCCTCCAGCCCTCCGGGTTCAAGGGCAAGGCTGGGAGGCGCCCGGGGCCAGGATGCTCCGTCCCGAATCGGGGGCAGGGGGAGGGGAGGACGCGCACCGCAACTGCTCGGCCGCTGGCAAGTAAACAGCCTGCCCTGAACAGGCGCGTCCTCCTGCCGAGCCCGCCGCGGGCCCAGTCCGCCCCTCAAGGGCGGCAACGGGACGCCCCACATCCCCGGCCCCCCGCAGGCACAAAAGGGATGCGATCACATCAGGGCTGGGGAACGTGGACTGGCCCGCAGCGGGGAGGCGTGGGGCGAGCGCGCCCCGGCCTCGGCCTCCCGGCAGCGGGGTCCGGTGCGCCCGCCT